TCTAACTATGAAATAGAGTATAGGTAATAAGTAGTCTCAAAGCACATCAATGGATATACAAGCTGATAAGAGAATTGTTCTGTAATCAGGAATTCCATTTCATAAACAATACATTGAGAAATACAATACTAGTCCACAAATTGCGGAATATCAAAACATGCTTCTTCGTGTATATAACAGTTAGAGGGGAAAAGCTTTTAGCTAAAACTAAGCAATATCATAATCTCAACCCTTCCGCTCGTAATCGTAAGCATTACCCCTATGTTGTGTATATAGAGCAACAGAAAATAAAATAAAATAAAAAAAATATCTTTGGGAAACAAACAGAGTAAAGACTTCAGAAAGAAGATGAAAAACTGACAGCAAGAGGATAGACATCGCCTTTAGTGCCGAAGGCCATGAACACTGCCTTCGGCTTCCTTCTCTCCATTTTCCTCTTTTCCCAAAGATACATCGCTTCCCCTGGCTAATAGTTCCTCAAATTTTTTTTCAGATGTTTCTTAGGGGAAAAAAATATTTTCTGAAAAATAATTACTTTTTTTAACTAATAATACAAAGTTTACGACATTATTATTTTGTAATAATGACACATGTGAAATTATTATTTTTGTGAGTGGAAGAGGTTATACTTAATATAGTCTTAACTTCCATTTTTACTTATTTTATTTGCCATCAATCTTTTTAATCAACATGATTTAAAATTAAAAAATATAATATTTTTTAAAATGTTTAAAAATTTAATCAAATATTTAAACTACTTTTGAATAATTAAAATTAATAAAAACAATTTTAAATTATTTGAACTATTCATAGTTTCAATAAGACATTTGTAACATTTGGCAAAAGTTTAACTTTTAGAAAATAATTAATACAATATTATTAAATTTAAAAATACTAATTAATCCGAAAAATCCCTTTATAGCTTTTTTAAATGTCTAAAATTTTAAGAAAACAACTATAAAAACTTTATATAGACAAAGATTAGGAACCTTCGTGGATTTCATCAACCCAATAACTATAAAAGAATTACATTTGTTATTTACAAAATTTAATGTTTAATCCTGTTTTGTTTTTGTGTTTTTTATTATTATATAATTGGTGTAAGATAAATGCAGTAAAAATATGTTGTTTACATTTTTAATGGATAAATTATATGCTTTTTATTTTTTGGTAAATTTATGTATTAAAATAAAAATTACACATTTACATAACATGATCCTATTTTTTAACCGAACTAACGTGTTCTTAGTGAACTTAATTTATTTTTAATTATGTAAAAAGTGGAAAATTTTAATTTACAAATTTATAGTCCAATTTTTTTCTCTAAATTTGATATCATAAACTTTATATATATATATATATATATATATATATATATATATAAATGAAAGTTGGTAAGGTAGAGTAGCGATACACATTAATTAATTTTTAATATAATATTAAAATAAAGATTGAGTTATTAAGCCTATAACATCATCTTAGGAAACTATTATTAAATAATTGATTTCATATTATTAAAATATTCATTTCTCACCATTTGGTGTGTGTTACAAATTTCATCTGCCTATTATATATAGAATAGAAACTTACTCTACCTCACATCATATTTTTTTTAATGTAATATTAGGAAGATATATTATTTTAAATTATTAAATGATAGTAAAAAATAATTCTTTATTATATATATATATAACAAATAATAACGACATGATTTATATAAATTATTATTTTATTTATTCAGTAGAAGATATTATTATTTAAACTATGGGAATTATCGTTTGTTTTTTATATGTAAGAGGACTAATTTAGAAAAAATTATTAAAATAGATAAATTTACAATTTTAACTTATACTTGATAATATAATTTTTTTTAAATATTTTTTAAAATAAAAATAAAAGTTGTAAAATACCACTTATACTTTTTTAAAAAAATATTTTTGTTATATTTATAATAATTACATTAATACAAAATTAAGAATATTAATAATTATAAATATAAGAATGTTATAATAATTATACTAATAAAATATGGATTCTTATTTATAATACAAGTAATTAATTAATATAAATATTCTTAAATTATTAAATTGACTAAATTTATAAATAGCATTACCTAAAAAAACAAAAATCAAGTCATAGAATAATGACAAGATAAAAATCAAAGAGATACATTTTAAAAAATAATGAGTTCTTACCTCAAAATATGTCTTTAACTAAAAAAGTTACAGTTAGTTAATCTCAATCTAACCATCCTTATAAGTTTTTTAGAATTTAATTATAACACAAATAGCTAATTAATACGGTCATTCTTTTAAATTATTAATTGACTACACTTATAAGTAATATTAGTAAAAAAAACCAACAATAAGTCATAGGATGACAACAAAATAAAAATAAAAAAAGATACATTTAAAAAACAAATCAATTATGATCTTAGCATTTGTTTCTATACAAAGATACGACTCCATTCGACCCATAATAAAGAAGGTATAGTCAACCATCTTCAATTATAGGATTTAAATTATTTTAAAAACTCTTAATTAAAAATCCAATAATTATACTAAATAAGTATAAGATTATTGATTTAATATTTTTACTTCGCTACTAATTTGTTTCAGGGTATATTTTGTCAAATAAAAATTAAAGAACATAAGATAAAACATTAATATGTTATAAAAATTATAAAGAAATGTAAAGTTAATAATAATATAAGTATCCTATCTCTTTATCTATCTATCTATCTATCTATCTATCTATCTATCTATCTATCTATCTATCTATATATATATATATTATAAACACTTAAAAAAACTAAAATACTACAAAATTTATCAACGAAAACATTAATAGAAGAATTATGGAGATAATAACAAATGTATAATTAGAAAACTTTTTCAATAAAAGTTTTAATTTACATATAAAAAAAACATTTGAAAATACATATTTTTCCTAAACCTGCAATAGAAAAAGTAACTAAGTTCATCATTTTTTAGTTGAAACAATACTCTAACACTAATATAATATAATTTACTGTTATTACTCAAACTATTTATTATATTTTAGTAAAAAATACATTTATCATCTACATTTAAAGAAGAACTTATGGGTCTTCCTATGAAAAAAATCATCTTATATTAAAAAGTAAATTTTATTTTTATAGAAATTTGAAAGTATTATTCCTTAGGTTTTTTTTTTAACACTCTCAATACTTAGCCTCCAATTTAATTGTTTCTTCTTCAAATATAAAAAAGTTTCGATAAGTATTTTATTAAAAAAATAAGTCTCCAAAATTATTTATATTCTTGTAATAGAGAAAGGTTAAACTCAAAAATAATAGAGAAAATAGAACATTTAAGTTTAAGTTCGTATAAACACAATAGACTATGAAAAAAATTAGAATATAATTTTAATATGAAAAAAAATTATAATATAATTTTAATATGAAAAAAATTAGAATATAATTTTAATATAATCCTCCTCTTGTTTATTGATTACTAAGGTTTTTTTTTAAGCTATAATGATCAAATTGTAATATTTACACTATTATACATCAAATTAATTCTCTATATCCCTTCATCAAGGTAGAATTAAGAGACATGCAATATAACCATTTAATAGAATAATAAATGCATAAATTATTAGAGTATATATTAACAATAATGTAGTAATTAATTTATTAAAGGTTAAATCAAAGTCCATTATAAATTGGTATAGATAAAAAAATTAAAACTAATGTAAAAAATTCACACTTTACCGACATTATTGTAATTTTAGTTTATAATTAAGAATACGAATGATTTTGAAAATGAAAACAAACCTATTTTGATTTATAACCCAAATCACCTTAAATATAAAAAATAGAAAGAAGTTGAATCACAATTATGACGTGCATTAGTTTTAAATGTTTTAAAGATAAACAAAATTATTTTTTTAAGGATTTTTGTTTAGGTTAAAAGCTCAGGAAATCACAAAATAAAAAATAATAATAAAAAATAAAGTTTATAGTTTACATTTCTCAACAGGAGCTTAACAATATAATGCAAATACAAAAGAGAGCAAATAATACAAATTAGTTACTTGTGTAAAAAAAATTATGCATTGAAAGAAGAAGAGAAAAATGTATAATATAACCTAGATCATGACACAATAAAAAGACGAAGAAAAACAAATTTAGAATATAACATAATAAAAAAAATAAAATTAACCTCTATCTAAATTATTGTACAATAAATGATTGAAAAAATAAAAACAATATACATTACAAATAAGGTTTCCTAATATATTTTTTTTAAGATTTTTGTGATTCAGATCAATATATATCCATCGAGTCAGATACTTATAATTTTAAAATATTAGATTCGAAAATGATTGTTTTTAGATTTTTTTTTTTTACCGGATTAACCAAGGAATTAAATTTTTTGCTTATTTATACATTTTAAAGAATGAAAATAAATTTTGGCACACAACATGGTTTTATTGTGTCAACAAAAAATTGATTTATCACATACAACTAACAACATTTTATTATTAAAAAAAACAAATACACCACCCATGACTTGTTCTTACGGGTTTTTCCTCTTATAGAATATGTTGCAAATTTAACTTGTTTGGGAATTGATAAGGTTTTTACTGTTTTATGGATTGGTTAATACGAGTGTCAGGACAAATATCATTTAAAAGTATACATGCAAAATATCCCCAACAGTAAACCAATAACTGTCACCAAAAAATTAATTATACTGGAAACTTGCAAGCAAAGAAAGCTTAACTTGAAAATATAATAACAAGGAAAACTAAAATGAAGAGTAAAATGAGACAAAAAGTCTGATGTTAGTGAGGTTTGCCAAATGTCAACGCTAACTTTTCAACTTCAAAATAAATGTAAGGGTAAACAAAAAAAGTTTATAGAAAGATATTTTGTATGTCTATAGATGACATTTTCCAGTGTATGTTTTCCTGAATAAAGTTGCTTAGTAGTCTTTCATTTCTGACAAGTTGTTCTATCGAGACTCGTTGGAAGTGTACTTGTCCATGAGCTGGGTCAGTTCATTCTCCAACTCCTTCTCAAGTTCAACCAGCTCCTGCCACAGTTTCTTCTTCAGAGCCAACTTTTTCTCTTCATGAATTTTTATTATTTTCTCTCTCTCGGACTCCAACTGCATAATCTTCTTGTCCTCCTGGGACTCCTCGCAACTAGATATATTATTTTACACCCACAGAAGAAAGATTAGAAAAATGCCTAAAACCAATGAGAATTTTCCTTCATAGAAAAAAAAATACCTCATTATTTAGTAGTATGACTCAAATGGCAACAAGCTAAGATATATGTAGGAACAAAATAATTATAAATAACACAAATAAGCTAAGATATATGTAGGAAACAAATAATTGTATATAACACAAATTTTGAAACATGATTGGAATTAAGAACAATTAGTAATATTAGATATACTTGTCCTCTTTCTTGGCAAATTCTCCACAAGTCTTTTTTGCTTTTCCTTGCATTGTCTGCTTCAATTTAACAAACTCGGCTTCTTTTGCTGCTACAGCTTGTTGAATGACTTGAATTTGGTCCTGGAATTTCTTTTCTTCTGAATCCATCTACAAAACAGTATCAAAATGAAGAGTCATAGAAGGATACTTTCCATCATACAAATTTGTATAGTCATATAAAAATTATGAGACATTGAAGGATTGTTTACATCAAACAAATTTCATATTCATATTAAAAAAGGATTTTTCATATCATACAAATTTGCATATTCATAATGGGTTTGGTTTCTCCAAGATATATTTTCATTAAAATCGTCACCGTTCACCTTCAAAATATAGAGCACTGTAATAAAAAATTTTGCATAAAAATTCTTAATTATATGTAAAACATCTAAGTTTCGTCTTATTCTACCAAATGAGCACCAAAAAATATCATTAATCTGAGTTCAGTGTCATAACCTTACCTCCTTGCTCTGTAGATCAACATGGTTATCTTCTGCACAGAATTGTGATTTTATTTGTTCTTTGGCTATCATGCTCTTGAAATAGTTAAGCTTCCGACTATCATCGTGAATATGTTTTATCTTGCTCTCAACCATCTCTTGGTATGATCTCATTTCAAACTTCAAATTTGGCTTACCTAAAGAATATAGATCCATCAGCAACATTTAATTGAAATATTAAACAGAATTAGAAGAATGAACACTATTGTAGAAATAAAATTAGAGCTATGCTGATTAGGCTGGCATAAATAAATAAAAAATTGAACAAGAGAGAGAGAAATGACTTCTGGAGTGCCGATTGAAATCGTCCAAATCTTCTTTAGAAGCCAAGTAACCGTAGAGTTGGCGTTTCCCACCTGGTAGCAATGGATTCTGACACCTATTCCAAGCTTCCCTACCTCTTCCTTGTTCTTTAAAATGCTTGTGTAATCGCACTGCTTCTAAATAACCTGCTGCGGATTCCTCAAAGATTAAAGCACTCATCCCTCTGTGACCTTGTGGACCATAGGAGTGCCGAGCTTTTAATGCATCATAATCTCGGAAGCAATTAAGGAGTTCTTGATTCCCCATTCCATTCCACTACAATTGAATTCTGTGAGATATGTGTTTAGAACACAAAAGACTGAAAAATGGAGATTATATATGTAATATTTACCTTGTTATTTTCGAGCCGCTCATATCTTGTATCCATTATGATAACCATTGGGGGCCAAACTATTTCATGATCCTTGACTTTCTTATCAAGACCCTCCCATATATTATGGATTTCACTAACCATTGTTAATGGAATCCTTCTCCTAAAAAGCTCTTCTTCCAAGGTTTCAGCAAACATCCGGTGCAGTCTTGCCCTCTTTGATTGTATTGCTCTGGAATGATCCAAAAGGGCCTGCAGCCCATTGTACCAAACAATAGCACCAGCCACCCCTTGGCACGCTGGACAATGCCACTGTCTATCTCGTGAACTTATCTCCTCATTGGCCAGTGCATTTAATTTATCGAAGAAATTCCAGAGCCACTTGCTCTTTTTGCACTGTTCATGGCTTCTCTCTCCAGTATCCGAGTCAGTGTCATCTAAAGAACAATTATCATCGCTGTCAAAAATAATGTCAGATTTATTGTCAACAATCTCATCGTTGTTTTCACCATGGGTTTCTAGGAATTTTTCATCTTTGCCTTGATCATTTTCGCAATTCTTAGATATAGTTGTATCAACTCCAATAGATGAATTTAATTCTTTCTCTACTGTTGCAGTTGATATTGACTGAGGAAGCAAATTGCTGTCATTCAAAATTTCACTTCCTCTACAAGCCAAAGCATCAAGAAAGTTGCTTTTGTCCTCTTGGTGATTGCTGTTAGTCACTCCTGTTCCACCGTTACCCCACTTTACCAACTGAAGCTTCTGAATACCATTTGGATTTCCCCAAGCATTTGGAGCACAATTTTGAGAAACCCAGGGTCTTGAAGTACTGGCATCAGAAATGCTATACAGTTGGCTTGTGTTCAACAGAATATTTTTGGGACCAGAAACTCTGTACACACTTCGCAACTCTGGAAAAGGATCAGCACCATCTTCAGCCATGGTTCAACAGGACCTTGAAATTGTTACACCAAAGCATAAATATTAATCACCGCATACTTCCAGAGGCCTCAACAGTGATGTCAGTAAAACAATAAACAAAGAGATGGATGGCTTAAACAAAACAATAAGATATTCCTTATCCTTACCTCGTGGATACAAACTTAATTTAAATATAAAGAGAAACAGTGCAAAAAGTCAAAAACACTGGATCAATACAATGATAAAGTGAAAATTTCACCAGAAACTATTATAATTGAAGAGACTATGGATAATTCTAGAGTCAAAAACAAGTTTCCATCGATCATTCATCCATTACATTTCAAAAATCCACAACCAATCCTATAAAAAATGATTTTTTTTTTATTAAGAGTCAATTTCTAGAGGGACAGAGAAATCATTTTTTTCCCTTATCTGATTGATTAACAACAACATAGCCCCTGTGTTCCTTCCTCTCTTTTTTAGTCCCAAAAACAGGTGCAGCAATGAAGGAACAGAAATACCAGGTCATACATTCATTGAGAACTCATGAAAATAATTTACCTACCCTGCCAGTAAAAGAAAACACAAAGAACAACAAAACAAAGTGGAATACAGAAAGCAAATGCTACACCACAGAACAACAGAGAATTTGTTTTGGGATTAAAATCATTATTACAATCACTTGCTATAATCACACAGCAGTAACAACAATAACAATATTCATAACGCACTCACAGAGAGAAGGCAATGGTAGTTGAAGAAGAGTTTTGCATGTGAAAAAGCTATAAGGAGTTAAAAAGCCAAGAATGCATGAAATTGAAATTGGAGAGAGAAAGAGTTAAATGCAGTAGCAGGAGCCCCACCCGTTGGCAGTGATGATGATGGTCAATGCTTCACTGTCGTTCTTCAGATTAATTAAACGTGTATGACAGAGAGAATAAGAGAGTGTGAGTGTTTACCTAAATACTCTACGAAATACGGATGGCAATTAAGTCACATCCGTGGTATCCCAGAGTCCGAAAAATGGAGTTAACTCGGTGAAAGTTTGAGTTTTTTTTTTTTTTTTTTCGCCATAAAAGAGTAGGAAGGGAGTGAGATTCGAGACTGAATTTCATTTTGGGTGGATGAGTTCATGACCTCGTACCAATAAAATAAATGTAACTTATATATATTTATAATTTTTTATACTAGTTATTTATATATTTATAAATTTAATTTTTCACTTAAATTATAAGAATTATAAAAATAATATATTTGAAATAAAATTACTTAAATATAATTTATATAAATTTATTTAAAACTTGTTTATTATTTATTCACTTTTTAACTTTTTTTTATCTTATATTTCTTATTTTTTTTCATTTGATTTATTTTCTTAATTAAACTACTATATTAAAATTTAATTAAAATATATTTAAACAAATATTTTAAAAATAATATTAAAATTAAAAAAATATTAATTAAATATTTAAAATAATTTTATTTATGATAACATAAATAATTAATTTAAAATTATTTTTAATTATTATTTATTAAAAAATAATTTAAAATAAATATTTTTTTAATAATTATAACGTAATAATATCTGTTACATTTTTAATTTATCATATAATATATTTTCTTATATAATATGTTAAATTATAATATTCGTTTAATTATTTTTATTTTCTCAATAATTATAATAATAATAGACTCAAATAATTAATTTTAATCTATTATTTTAATTAAAGAATAAAAGAGAAAAAGAAAATTAAAAAATAGACGAAGAGAAAGAAAAATAAGAAAAAAAAACCTAACTGTAATAAGTTAAAGGAATTTATTTCTCGTGATTAAAGTTTGGGTATCAACATTGAACATTTCTTGTATTTTTCACCCTCTTTAATTCTTTCTACCAACTTTTCATTATTTTGTTTTTTTCAATAGTTTTATTTAATCAATTTATTAAGTTATTTTCTCTCTTTTGTCTTTTGTTATTTCCTATTTTCTTAATATCTGTAATTGATCTGTTTTTTCCAAGACATTTTTAATAGGAGTTCACTTGAGTTATTTCTAATCTTGAAAAATGTAAAAGAAGAATTTATGACACTACATCATTTTAAACGATTCAATGTCGATTTTATTTTATTAAAAGTTTTTTTAATAAATTTTAAAAAATTTATTCTCTCTTCTCATTTACTTTGATTTACTTATTTTTATAAATTAATTGATGAAACAATAAAAATAAAATAAACACTTCTAAATTTTTCATCCAAATTGACAAATATAAAGTTTTTTTTTTATTTTCTAAATATTTTACATTAATATTAGTACTAATTAATATTATTTTATTTATAATTTATCTTCAATAATTTTATTATGTCATACATCTATCATTTTATTATTTTTATTTCTCATACATCAAATTTTATCTTAATAAAATAATTATATTTTAAAAGATTAAAAAACATTAATAATTAAAAAAATTTCTTATTTTGCATTAATTAAATAAAAATTAACTTATTAAATATTTTATCATATTTATTAATATTTAAAAATGAAAACTTAAAAAATAATTTATTTATATATAATCAAATATTTCAATATATTATTATTATTATATAAATATTATAAAGAAAAAGTATTAAATATTTCTTTTATATACATATATCAATATAAATATAATAAATTAAAGTATATATTTAATTAATAATAATTATATATATATATATATATATATATTAAAACTAGTTTATTATAAATATAATTTTTTTTAAATAATGTAGATGCATACTCTCAACATAGTGTTTAAGAATCTTTATTCAGTAAGATTTTTTTACAAGAAAAGTAATATTTCTTAATTTTATCTATCTTTTAAAATAAAAAATTTGATCTATCTTTTTCCTTTTTTTTATATTGAAATTTAATATTTTATCTTTTATGTTGGAGTTTTTTTATGACTAATTTACCTTTTATAATATTTTTATAAAAAACTATATTTTCTATATAATAATTATATATTTATATTTAATATAATTAAAATATACAAATTATTATATTATTAATTATTATATTCAAATTTTAATTATTTTTAAAAAATAATTTATATCAATAGATCATTAAATTATGTATATGCTTACGTATCTATTTATCAAACATCATTTATAAGAATAATTCATTTACTTGTTATCTAAGATTTACTACGAAAAACCTTAACAATATATATGAAATAAATAACGTTCTTTCATAGAATCAATTTTTAATTTCTTTTATAATCACACCACGTACATCATTTTACATTCCACTATAATATATAATTGATAATAATTTTAACATTAACAATTAAAAATTTATGAAATTAATTGATATTATATAAAAATCCAATAATATAGAAAAATTGTAAAAAGTTATAATATAAAAAAACATATTTTATGCTATCTTTTTATATATTTAATAATAAACTTTATATTCCATCCAAATCAAATTATTTTCGTATCCTTTCACTATATGTGACGTTATCAATTAGTGTAGTTTTTGGGAAGAAGAAGGATTATGATTAATTTATATGTACATCAATTATTTAAAATTTTTAAATTTAATAATTATTAAATATATTTGTGTAAATATTTATAATTTAATTTTTCATTTTTTATATTTTATCATCATTTTTTATATTTTTTTATTAACAATATTTTATTTTATTTTTAAAACTTTAAAATTAATATATATTTATGATCTTATCATCTAAGTTTAATAATTATTAAATATATATATTTTTATATTTAAATTTTTATTTTATATTTTTTTATTTCAATTTGTATATTTATTTATTAATAATATATTATTTAATTGTGTAAAATAATTGGGAAAATCCACGCACAAAATTCAATTCTCTTAAACATTATATTAGTTTATAAATAGAAAAAATACAAAAAATACCGTATTAAAAATAACTAATCAAAATTTATATAAATATCACACCTTATAAATGACTTGGTATTAAAAAAAACATATAAAAAATTGAAAACATTTATTTAACATTAAAAAAATCTCAAATTATATAATAATTTATTTAACCTATGATTTTCAATATGTTTAATTCTTATAATTTTCAAACCTAAATATTTATAATTTTATAATTTATAATTATTATTAATTAAAAATATATTTTAATTTATTATATTTATATTAAAATAAGTATGTAAAAAAATATTTAATCATTTTTATTTATATATATAAAAAACTATTATTATTATAATATCAATAATATTATATTCAAACATTTAAATATTTATAATATTTAATATTGTATCCAATTTAAGTTGTTTTTTAAAAATATGAAATATATAATTTATAAAAAATATTTAATAAGTTAATTTTTATTTAGTTTAAATATATAATTTATAAGAAAATATTTAATAACTTAAATTTTATTTAATTAGTTTAACGTAATAAAAATTTAAATTATTAATTATTTTTAATTTTTTTAAAATACAATTATTTTATTAAAATAAAATTTGATATATGACCAATAAAAATAATAAGATCCAAAAATATAAAATAATAAAATTTAATAAATATAAATTATAAATAAAATAATATTAATTACTATTAAGATTTATGTAAAATATTTAGAAAAAAAAAGAAGAATAGTTTTATGTTTATCAAATTAGTTGAAAAGAATGAAAAAAAAATTGATTGGAGAGATTAAAAAAATGTAAAAAAAAATGAAAGGTAAAAGAAATAAAATAATGTAATAAATTAATTGATCTAAAAGATTAAAAAAGACAAACAAAAATAAAAAATAGGTGTAAGAAAAGTAAAAATATAAAAAAATAATATTATATATAATAAAAAAATAAAAGAAAATACTTTCAAAATAATATTTTAAAATTAAATTTAAATATAAAGTTACGCAAGAATGAGATAGAATGAGTATTATATTACCCATCTTTAACTTTTTAAAATGGAGAAAAACTGAATCATGTTCCTGCCTCAATCAACTCTATTTTTTTTTCTTTTTCAAACCCGAAATAAAGACGGAT